GCAGCTTGTGCGTTTTATGATAAGCTGTACGTTTCATGATACTACAGTATGAAACAATAAAATTGTGTAACCCTTATCCATGAAATAAAAGGTATGTTTGGGGCAGCTTGTGCGTTTTATGATAAGTTGTACGTTTCAGGATAACCGGCTTTTCCTAAAACGCGGCCCACAGGTCAACCACGGGGGTAGACCCGCGGCCTGTGTTTAGTGTAAAAAGCTCAAACGTAACAGACAACATTTTAAAAAAACGTGCAAACCAAACGGTTAGATGCGTTTTTAAAAACGCCGCTGCACTTATAAGGTGCCCCGAACGGGTCTAAAGTCTTATTTGTAGGGAGTACCCATGGAATCCATAGATATAATAGGGGCATTTTGGTCAGTACATAAATAAAAAGTCATGAGCTTGGTGAGACGTCCAACCGAAATGGGGATGGGTGATGGGTACCTCAAGAGATGTCCGACAGGCTAGAACTGGGAGCCTATGAAGACTGTCACCCAACCATTTTTGTCAGATGACCATGCATTGGGGACTCGGAGGCTCTATTGTACAAACTACCTCTTGAGTGCTTATGCTTGGAAGGATGGACCAAACAACTCCTTGTATGCGAGAGTCTTGTGGTGGTGGATTTTTTATGAGAATGATTGGATTCTTTTTGTCTGAAGGTTATTTTCCTTTCTGTCTGTATGAGCTAGTTGGCAAGGTGAGGGGATGTCATATCAACTTTTCTCCCGGCAATCTGATTTCTTTAAGATTTGCGTTGACACATTGTTTATGTACAATTCAATTATTAATTAAGTTTTTTTTATCCTAGATAGTCTCCTAGTTAAATAATATAAGAAAAGTTATGGATAAACATAAAACAGGTTATTAAAAATGACTAAATTAATAAGTGAGCCTTAAATAATATATCTACATATGTATCAGGTATGTATTTAAATGCCCCATTATCTTATTGTTTTTAGTGCCCAGACCCCTCCCACGCCGCCAAATATGGGTGACTAATAAAACAAAATTTTTTTAGTTTGACATCTGTAAATGTATGTATGTATGCATGTATGTATGTATGTATGTTTTTTAGTTTGACATCTGTAAATGTATGTATGTATGTATGTATGTATGTATGAATGTATGAATGTATGTATGGGGTAATATGGGCAGACAGGAAATAGAAATATGACGATTTTCATTTGGGAGTCGGCTTGGTGCTGATTTTGATTTTTTTTTAATTGATGTTTGACGAAATGTTTAAAATTGAAATTGTAATAAATCAGCAATTAAAAAAAAATTAAAAGAACATTGTCGCCTATTTAAAAGGCTACAATGTCCACTACTTAGTTGTTACTGTCAGTTTAAATAGTCTTTGTATTTTCTAATAATAATATCTTTATTAGTTTTGTTGATTAAAAAAATTAATTTTAATATTTTCATAAAATTTTCTTTCATATTATTTGAAAATATATTAATGTAATAATTAAATAATGTAATTTTAAAGTTGTGTCTGAATACACAGAGAAGACTATAATTTTAAAATTTGAGAAAATAAAAATTTTGGATATATATTAAAATCATATAATTTGTAATTTGATTTTTTTAATATATTAAATATACCGCAGCCTAATTTTTTTGTGAAATAATTATTTTTTAAATAATATATTTTTTGAGTAATTTTAAGAATAATTTGTAATTTGATTTTTTTTTAATATATCAAATATACCGCAGCCTAATTTTTTTTTGAAATAATTATTTTTAAATAATATATTTTTTGAGTAATTTTAAGAAGATTGCAATTCATAATTATTTATTAATATGTTAAACCATGAACTTTAATAAAGATAGGTGGTATAAATAAAAATATGTTTTTTGTGCATTAAAAAAATGTCATGCATAATCTCGTTATTAGATATTTTTTAAATGTTTAAGGAAATAATTTATATATTATTTTAATCTACGACTTTTAAAAACTAATTTGAGTTCTATCTTTATAGCAGGATGAGATGCACTTTATAATTTTTATAAGAAATGAGTCACAATAAATAACAAAATAAAAAATAAAAAATAAAAAATTTATTTAATAAAATTGAGGTTCAATGCATCTCAAATGTCAGAAAATATATATACCATGTAATGCACTCTATGTATTTCTTTCTAACTCTTATGCCATTATCTACTTGATATGACTCAATTGTTAGGAGTGTGGAATTCTAGAGCACACACTGGTCAATCTCGTGTATGGTGTTGATCCTCCTCCAAATGCTCAAGCGTACTTTTATCTTTTTATCACAACAGATTGTTGGACATGATATGACATGAACGGGTGCTCCTCTTATATGGAACAGATAATGGCCCCTCATGAAACTACAATTTCTTAAAAGGTTGCCTGACAATGGGCATTTAAAACTATCCCAAATTAATGTCGTGGTGTTGAAGGTCTACTGCTTGGTGTCGCCCAAAAAAGTCTTGCTCTAAAGAAATACTTATGCATAAAAGAAGAGTGCCCATGGATCCCTTCATACTACACTTCCTGTGGCAAATTATATGATGGCCATCCATGATAACTCAAAGGATTTGGAACTAGTTAAAAGACACAAGAAGAAGAGACACGAGGAAGTAAAATAAAGTTATATTTCATTGATATTGATCTTTGTTACAATGTGTATTTATAGTCATTGAATGTGAAAATTATAAATACCCTTTGAGGGTAATAAAGACACTATACAAGATAATACATTAGTACATATATACTAATCCCTAAAATGCAAAACTGGAGCTAAGGCAGATGGAGAACTGAGGCGGATGGAGACACAGGGGAGGCAGATCTAAGGATTCAGGAATGTGAGAGGCGAGGAGCTAGCACTGAAGACATCATCATCCTCAAATAAGTGCTAATACTAGTTGTGCATGTCAAATATCTAAAGGCAACCTAGGCGGATGGTCTATAGTTGATATAAGTTGGTGTTGGATCATCTGTATCCTCAGTTGTAGCATTGTCAGCATGCAGTGTTTCTAATAAGTGCATGGATCTCCACATTCAACTGTATAGGTACTCCAACCTATCAATTGTCACATGCATTCCCTCCCTCACAAGTGGCAAAAATGATCAGAATAAACTCTGTGGATTCACAAAAAAGTCATGTTATAATTGAATTAGATTCAAGTTATTAAATTATTATAAAAAAGGCTAAATAAGCTTTAATGCAAGAGAATTTAGGGCTTTGACATCGGATCTTCGGTAATATGTGTCTGATGGAGCCATGGGAGCTATGAATATGTGCAATTTAAACATCACTTATACACTATACATGCCCTGTCTTGTTCTACTCGTGAGTCATATTGTGCAATGATGAATGTGTCTCTGCCATCACATATTTTAATGTATTCTTAGTGGCAGTCTACACAAATAAAAACCGTCATTCCACCAACTATCAACTCTTTGAAAACTTGCCTCCATTAGCTGGACTTGAACTCTAGGCATCAGCCCAAATTATAATAATATTCTCTCTGACAAGTGTCACCACTACACATGAAGCTAACCAACATATTAGCGACATCTTAGCTTACCAAATAGCTAGTCCTATGGTGCACATGCAAGTCCATAATACACCGTCCTATCTCATGCTCATATAGTATTGTTGCTTGAGGCCTCGTTGCCTTCATTACCCCGCCACCGGTATAGATTTACTAGTATTGTTGCACAAATAGAGTTGTGTCAAAATTTTTGTCTATCTAATTTATAAAAATAACATATAATTTTAGACGAAAAAATAGTTTCAATTTATGATATTTCTGTTGTGTAATGTAATTTTATTAGAGATTTTCATTTATTATAATTTCGCCTGATAACTGACATTCATAAGAGCATTTAAACTCTATCCCAAGGATATAAACAAAGGATAAGCAAGTTGGCCACATTTTTACGTGAGCCTATAATTAATCTCATAATCATGTCTTTGGTCATTCCAAATAACCTTGTAATTTCTTAGATAAGATAAATTTTATTCAGTCATGTTACATTTAAAAGATAACATCGAAATGTCAGGGTTGTCTAAACAATATATTTTGGGAATCTACATTCATACCACTAAATTTCTATGTATCTAAATACATCCAGTACGTAAACTTTGACTTTTAATTTTATATCATCTACATCATTCATATCGCATGCTAAATATCACAATTTTAATTTTTATAAAATAATAAAAAAAAACTTTTCATGAAGATAAGATGAAATATATGTAAAAACTAGAATATATGGTTTTAATATGTAAATACATCAGAATTGAGTGGTATTCGGTTCATATATTTTAAAGTTTTTAAGATCTAGTCATTTCTTTATTCTTTGATAGATTTTTTTATTTTTCTTTTTTATTAATGATGAGTGTTCCATACACTTGTTAGACATGCATTTCAGATGCCATTTTTTTAAGAGAGAGATAATATTTTCATTACTTGAAAGATGAAATATAAGAGCAACAAGCAATGAAATATTCCATTCACCGTCGAGAAAAGAAAAAAGTAGGCAATTAGTATTATGTATTTCCATTTAATTATAATATCGGACTAATTTCGCTATAATCTGACGGTGAGAAGATGTGGCGATAAGAAGAAACATGATTTATCATCATTATCAAATCTACATGACATGTTTGCTGATGTGAGATGAAATGATTTATTATTATTATTTTTCAACAGGGCCGTTTATCACGGGCTCGAGTCGCCACATTTTAATTGTAACACGCCTTCCCACGTGCTACCAATCGAACTACTATATATAGTTCAATCCACTACTCCACCCCCAACATAGAACCATATGTTCCACTTTTTCTTATTTTTCTTGTAGAAATTGAAATTATAGATACATCCTATTTTCCTTACTTCTTGATACACGAAATATTTCAAAAATAATTATTAATTTCTCGGTAATTATCATGTTCTGTCTACTTATATGGTTAGATGCAGGTTTTGAAAAATTATAATTCTATTAAATAAAATTATTGCTTGAATTTGTAGGCGAGTTGAAGCTTTTCAGTGATTCCAATTAATGGATGGTGGTAATTGTTACCCCTTTTTTGACCCAGAGTTTGACCCCCTCTCCGAAAATATCCCTCCACTGAGGTAATTTTAACTTTATTTTTATTTATTCCATTAATTTTTCTAGTTTTATTACCATTTTTTTAAAGAAAATAATTCAATTTTTTGCTTTTACAAAAAAATTAAAAAATTTTAAAATAGAGGAAAATTATATAAGTTTCCGTCCATTAAAAAATTTTAAAATAGAGGAAAATTATATAAGTTTCCGTCCAGACCAATTAATAAATTTTTTTTTGTTGCAATTTTCACGTCAAATGAATATTGTCGAAGTTTTGACCCAAATGAACTTAAAATAGTTTTATTTTAATATTATCAGTTGGCAGTTTAGCTTTTTGAAAATTTACATACATATCACATAATTCTTATGTGTTTACATATCTAACACCCAAACTTTGATATTTACACTAATAACACATTGGTGTCATAACCCCATGCATGAAAAAATATATTTCACTTTTTAAAAGATTGTGATTGAGTAATTTTTGTTGTAATATTAAAGATTTGAATGATAAGCATGTAAATATGAATTAATGTTTAGGTGTTTCAAATGTAAATACTTAAGAATTTAGTGGTATGCATGTAAATATTTCATTTTATTAACAATCTAACATATGCTTATTCTTGATCACAGGGTGAGCGTTGACAATGAAACACGTGACAATCACACAATTATCAAGGTATTCTCTTTTTTCTTTTTTCATTATAGATAATAAAATTATGCTTCTCACATAATATATGCATTTAAATTATTTGAAGTAATTTCTTAAGTAACTTTTCATATCAGCTCTATTTTTCCTAATTTTAACTGTTAATATATATATATATATATATATATATATATATATATATATATATATAGAGATAGTTTTTTTTTATAAGTTTGAAATAATTGAAATAATAATTTAAGCATTGAAATGAAATATATCAATAATAAATTAATAAGATGCTAGATTATTTGTAATAAAAACAATGAATTAAAAAAAAATTGCATTAACAGTAAGTTTATCTGTCAAGTTTAACTGTGTAGCTAAAGTGTTATTGTAATTTTTGTTTTGTTTTCCAATTATTTCGTCTAAAATAATTGAATTTAGAGAGTGTATTTGTTGGTTAATTTACATTAAGCCCAGTGTTTTCATTATGTTAATTTGCCAATGCAATTATTGTATTAATTTTTTTCTTTAATAAATAATTTAATAAATTTTCTTAATGATTTTTCAGTAATCAAGCAAATCTTAATTGGTTTGATATTGGACTTGAATTACTGGACCAAATGAATTAAAAAATGATTTAATTTATAATTTAAAAGATACTAAACATATTTTATTAAATAAAAAATTTGATTTTTTTTTTGTCTTGATCAAATATAGGTGGATAGTGCTAACATACATGGGATCCTTCTAGAAATGGTTCAAGTCCTTTCCGATTTGAATCTTGTCATCTCTAAATCGTATATCTCATCAGATGGTGGATGGCTCATGGATGTCTTCCACGTAACCGACCATCATGGACACAAACTCACAGACCCTAACCTCATACAACACATACGAAAATCTCTTAGTGTCGCCCAAAAACAAAAAGGATCTTCCACATCTGCTAAAGTCAAAACAAGCCTAATCAACTTTGTTAGGGCCAACAGCCTCAACTCTTACTGCTCTGCTCTTGAGATAACTACCAATGATCATCCTGGCCTCCTCTCTGAGGTCACTGCTATACTCTCTGAGCTTTCGTGTGGCGTGGGCTCCGGTGAAATTTGGACTCACAATGGTCGTGCTGCTTTCATTCTTTACATAACAGAGCAATTCACGGGCCAACCCATCTCTGACCCAACTCACTTGGGTTATGTGGAGGAACAAGTGAGATGCATAGTGAAGGCTCACCACTTTCCAGGGGAGCTATGGCGCGTGCGATTGCTAGGCCCCACCAACCATCAAATTCACACGGAGCGGCGATTACATCAATTGATGCAAGAGGATAAAGATTATGAGATTGAATCACCATTGTCTCCCTTTAAGAATGGTCACTTTTGCTTGGTTAATATGGATATAGAGGCCAAGAGGTGGCTTGGCGGTGATGGTGGAGGTAATGGAGCAGTGTGTGGGCCATATGTGTCAATTGAGACATGGAAGGAGAGAGATTATTTGGTGGTGAATGTCAGGAGTAGGGATAGGCCTAAGCTATTATTTGATACAGTTTGTACATTGACAGATTTAGACTATGATGTATTTCATGCCTCTATGAGCTCTCATGGATCAATAGCAATTCAAGTGATATTCTTTGGATTTTAGATTTTTTTGATTAGAAATACAGCTCATCCAAAATGGATAAAAGTTTAATTTTTATGTTTGCAGGAATACTATGTGCGGCGGATGGATGGGTGCTTGATTAACAAGGAAATGGAAAGGCAGAGCATAGTTCAATGTTTGGTAGCAGCCGTAGAACGAAGAATACCTCATGTGAGTATAAATCTATGTGCTTCACGATGAATTAAGAAAAAAAATTGTTTAATTGTAATACTTTATACCTACATGATTGATTGTAGGGACAAAAAATAGAGTTGCGTACTTTAGATCAACATGGTTGGCTCTCAGATTTAAGTAGAGCTTTTAGAGAGAATGGTCTATCACTAGATAATGCAAAGTTTGCCAAGGAGGGAAATTGGGTCATTGGCACTTTTTATATTACTGATTTTTCATCTTCTGTATTTGATAGAGTTATGAATCAACAAAGACTAGAGGCACTATACAACACAGTTGATAGCAACATCATCTTTGACAAGAAGGAACATGCCGATAATGAGTACCTTGGTTGCAGAAAAGGGGGACTAATGTTGAGGAGCCACTTTAATATGTTAAAGTGGACTAACTCATCAGTTCAGTGGAGTTGGAATGTGCATCAAGTGTTCTATTCCTTAGGGAGTCTTATGAGGTCATATATTGACTGCTTCTCCAAAAAATTTGGTTTTATTCAATCATAAATAAATCATAATATCAACTCTGTATCAAGCAATATAAATCTACTTGGTTGAAAATCTATGGATTTTTAACATATTTTTAGTTTTATCATTTTCTTCTATTTGAATCTTTTTATTTTTATTCATAAAATATTTGTTCTTTTGAGTTTTCATCATTATTTATCATTTGTTATTACTCAATCCACTATTTGTCATATTATTCTGCCATAAATTGCATGTATAAGTTCTATTAAATATTACTTAAAAATTTCATCATGTTGATGAAAAACTCATAAAGGGAGAATTTAATATAGTTTCTAAAACTTGTTATTAATATGAAAGTGAATCATTTCAAGGCCTATTTTCTAATGAAGAAATCATATATCAAATCAAGACTCGATGTATAAAATAATTTTAGATACAAATATCACAATTGAGCTATATTGTTGCATTCTTGTTTATGTAATGTTTGATTTCAATCTAAGGCTTTTCTAACAATTAAAAATTTTCAAAGTTAAGTTTGTCTAACTGTTTTCACTTCTCATGATTAGGGTTATAATTGAGCCAAGTTGAGTTGAGTGTGTCCTAGGTTGAACTTGATTTGGTCATATTATAAGCTGTTTAAATTTGACTTGAGCTTGAGTTAAATTATTACATATATGTTCATACTAGATTTGTTTAAGCTTTTTAATTATGTGTACTTGCTTCAAATGTGTCTTATTTGCACTTATTAAAAAGTATTATAATGAGCTATTTAAACTCTATATATTCGAATGAATATTTGACTATTCATATAAAGTTATTAACAAATGATTTTATAAATAGAAACACAAAAGAAATTGGATAAATTCTTATTTAGAATTTTTCATAATAAAATCATATACATAAGTGCTAATATACCTTACGTTAGCATAAAATGAATATTAACTAATGAAAAATTAGTTATTTTAAAATTAAGTAAAAAACAAAAAAAAAATTCAATGCTTACCTAAATAATTGATATTTGGTAAGAAATTGGATCTTGGGAAGGGGAAAGAAAGATAGAGGGGCTAAACTCTAAAGTTGTTGAGTGTTAAACTATCCATGATCTTTAAAAGGACAAAAAGATTATATATATAGGATAATTTATACTTAATGTGAATTGTACAATTGATAAATATATATTTATATATTTTTAAATGAATTACTAATACAAAAATATGATTGTTTGAATATGATAGATAACAATGTATTAATTAATAAATTAAGTTAATCATAAAACATATGATAATAAAATAAATATTTAATTAATAATTAGATTTAAAATAATATGGGCACTAAACTATAATATATTACTACTGAATATAAACTTAAATAAGTTCTATTAACTAAATTTGAATTAAGTTATATATCATGTACGATCTGAGCAATCAAACATTTTAACATATTATTTGTTGAGACGAAACAAAGTGAGCTTTGTATTGTAAAAAAAGAAAAAAGATGTCCTCATTTTGTTGGCAATCTTGTTTGCCAACAAAATATACCCGTAGAAAAATGGATATAGCCATTTATAAAAAGCAAAAGCTATATCAATCTCCAGGAAAAAAATGCCGACTCAGCCTGAATGCTAAGAACATATACAAATTATGATAAAAAGCCAAGAGCTTCTTCATCCTACTGAAAATAGATATACAATTTATTGCCCTGAAGAGCTAGCATATTGATGAGAGAAGCCTCTTGTCACCTCCCAGAAGAGCTCTTATGGGTGGTGGGCAGCCCAGGACTTAAATATTGCTTTTCGGCCCTACACCTAGCCAATGTTGGACTATTTGCCTGTTACATTCTCCTCCACTCAATCACGTGACGCCCTCGTCACGGATCGGCTCCACCGAGGGTCCCACTGGACCATGGAGAGTCCACACACCTGACAAGCAGTAGTCTGCTCTGATACCACTTGTCACCTCCCAAAAGAGCCCTTATGGGTGGTGGGCAGCCCATGACTTAAATACTGCTTTTCGGCCCTACACCTAGCCAATGTGGGACTATTTGCCCGTGACACTCTGCATGAAAGGCAATACTCCTAACATCCTGATGATTAAGCAGACGCCAATGCTATCAACTCATGACTTCAGTAGAGCACTCTATAAAAGCACTTACTCAATTGTCCTTTTGAGTTTGCATTTAGGCATGAAGTGAGTGGCAGTATATTGCAAACTGCAAGCTTCAACAGCTCAGCTGATCTCTGTTTCAAAGAGGGACTGTATCCACTCTGAATAACAAGCAAAAGCTTGGTTGCCAAATCGGCATCCACAGCAACCGAAGCCCATTCCTCTGGCGCTAACATGCAGACATTCCAAAGCATAGACAGAGCATACTGTAAGCAAGCCTCAGAGAACCTCATCAGAATCTTCACTAAATTTGGAATTGTTTGGGAACAATCCTTTACCGCCAACCTCCCCTCAGGAATCGAGGAAAGCTCATCTAAAATTTGCAGGGCAGAGTCCAAGCAAGTAGCACCCAAATAAGGCTATACGTTCATAAGCTGTGTTACAGCACTGACTCTCACCATATGTCCCCTACCTTGATGCTTCTGGTTGCAGATTGTCTTAGATCTGGTGTCGCCTATCATTCACCAGCCTCAACAATCCAACCAAAAGACTCGGACTTGGGAGTATCTCGGACCTGATATTCTCTTTTTCCAAAAGAATCTCAATTAATTTGGCACAATTAAACTTGGTGTCTGTCATCCCCTCGTTAAGCATATCAACAACAAGAGAGATCTTAGCCGGCAGCATTAGATTTTCCCTTGCGCTCGAGTCAAGCTGGAGATTGACAAGTATGGCGACGACCTCGGCGCCAACGACGTGGGGTGTAAAGGGGCCGAGAAGCGACGAAAGTAGAGAAATGCCATCGTTTCCCGCATCCGGGAGGCCTTCTTGATGGTGGAGGAGGTTTTGCTAGTTCTTTAAGAATGTGGACTCGGGTTTGACCTTTGACTCAGCGGAGAGAGTCTATGGTATCGGTGATCTGTCCTCCCACATCTTTCGAGCACTTTTTGGCTCGAAGATAGCACCGTATGAACCATGTGTAAATCAAATGGTGGAGAGTATGATTAGGGGTCAGAGCTTCACTCCAAAGCTCCTGCATTGTGGTAGGGCAAGTTCGATGACCCATTGAAAGCCATTTGTGGATGTTGGAACGATCGTAGGTTTGTCTTGTACAAAGAGTGACGGGATCGAGCATCGGATCGAGGGAGATGGGACACATAAAAATGAAGGGCACGTCATTGTCTGCTTTGAGCGAATCGTTTTTCTTCTTCATGTCAAGGTTCTCATCAGTGACGCCGGCACTGGCTCCTCCGGCTGCGCCGCGGGCTAGGGCTGCGGTAGATCCCAATATGCGTCTTTGACTGCGGTTTCCAGATCTAAGACCTGCCCGTCTCTCACTGAACTCCAGGAAGCCTTGCTGTGACTGCGGCATTGTTTTGGGATGAACCTAGGCTCAAAATCAGTCCTTTATAATTAGAAAAAGTATTATGATACTGAGAGAACTAGAGATGTCCAGGGGGTGAAAGAGACGCCTTTTCCTCTGATTTTTTGGGCTGTGATGTGAGAGTTTTGAGTACAGTTGAAAGGAAGGAATGGGAGGATGTCGTTATCATAGATAACATGATGGAAATGCGAGATTTCCCGCAGGCCGTAAAGTCAAATTTCTTGCCTTGCTTCTTTTGCTCCTAACTTTCTTCTCCTTGGCAGAATTTTTGAAAAGAGAAATGAAATTTAATGTAAACAAATTGGAGAGTACTTAATAAAACAGCAGAAGGAAAGATGAACAATTACACAAAACAAACCCCTGATATCAAATTTGCTTGCTCTGTTCTGCTTCGACATTCTCACAGCTCATTGACCGCGCCTCCTTTTTCTGAAAAAAATGGTGCTGTTTATAATGAAATTTAATGTAAATTTGTCCTTTAGAGTAATCTTAACAATTGAAAATTTAGCGTATAAGGATAATTGATTCAGATTATCTCCATGATAAGAATAATTAATTGTTGCATGGAAAGTAAATTTTACCTCATTCGAGCATTACATGAAGATCTATTATACACACAAGTAAAAGAAGAACTAAAGAAAAAGTCAAGGATTCTTATCTAATTAAAATGATGCAACTAATATACGTTATAGGTTAAGAATGACATCTTTTCTCTTACATACGAGTGTGCATGATACATTGTAATATACAGGAATTTTATAAAATATGCTCCATGATGTAAGTTGGAGGAGTCTAGGGCTTTGTAATTGCTTTCAACTGACCCCGCTTAATGAATGTTGTGTTATCTTTCTTTGAGAAAATGAGTTAACAGATCAAGAAGTATGGCATCATCATGTGATTCATTGTGTGCCTTTATGAATTTTTGCATTGATTTTATTGGAGATGATGGGTGACGGTTGGTATCAATTTGCGATTGTTGCGGGATGACCATAGTCAATTCACAATGATTAGAATATTATAAAAGAGTGACTATGATTGAATGATTATAAGTGTATGACTAGGCCATATAGTTATAGTCAGTTAATTGGGAGACCGTTATCTAGTAAACGAGGTCAAAGAACTGTCATCAAGTAATTGTAGTTGTGTGGGAAATGTTGAGTAACTTTAATTGGATGACAAAAATTGGGGGAAATACAATGGTGATAGAAGACAGAAAGTTGCAGATTATTAGGAGGTTATAATTAAGGTATGGTAGTTGGGCATCGAATGTCTGGCAGCTACAATCATATGAAAGAAGTGGACAAACTGTAGTCTTGTGATGGAAGTTTAATAGTTTTAAACTGGAGGATGTTATCATACCATTATAGTTTGGGGCCTAAAGTTGGACAATTGCCTTTGAGTAACAAAAATTGAGAGATTATAGTCTCAAGACAAATTTCACAAAGTTTCAGACAAATGACTTGTCAAATGAGAGTAGCTAGATGCTAGGAGTAGGAAAACTATAGTTAAGAAATGAGGGTTTGGAGACAATATGTGGGCAATGTTTTCGTAGTAGTCATTGGATGGCATCAGTCCAA